AACTCTTTCAGAGAAGAAATTCCTTCTCGTTTCAGTCTAAAATTGGCACCGTTTTGTTCTGAGTCTATGCTCCCTGGTCCCAGACTCTCCTATCTGAGGGGAACCATCCTCTCAGTATTTATGCTGCCAAGCCCCTTAAGAATCCTATATGCTTCAATGAGATCACCTCTTGTTCTTCTAAACTCCAGTGAGTAGCATCCCAATCTGTTTAATCTTTGTTCGTAAGACAATCTCTCCATTATCAGGGATCATTCTAGTGAGCCTTCTCCGAACTACCTCCAATGGAACTATATTTTAAATAAGAGGACCAGAACTGTTCACAGCAGTCCAGATGTTAATTTTCAAAAATTATTCTTTTCCTACACCAATCTTCTTTATTATTTCACTTGACTTCACATTTGATTTTGTTTGAATAAGATGTTCCAACAAACATATCTTGGTTGAGACTGCATGGCTTATTAATGATTCTTCAATTTGATTCGTCAAGGAGATACTGTGTTGCTTGCCTGGTCTGAACAGGCCTCAGCTGCCATAGGAAGACCACTTTTCTTTTATTTTTGACAGCAAGTTCTGATGTAAATTTCCCATCAGAAGTGCAGGTGTGCTTAAAGAATACAATCTGGTATATTTTAGTTTTGGAAAAGGTTTCTGGATTAAGCATAGTGCATAGCTGAACTCGTGGATAATGGGTACAGTGGAGAGTCTAGCTCAAAGGGATGGAGAAATCTGTCGACACAGAAGTACTGAGCATTTAGGGACAGGGTAGTTTGGACTGGGCCATGAGTACTGAAGAACTGGTGGATGTACAGGGTGATAATAGATATTAATGGGGATTTAGTGGAGGCAGAATGACATCGAAGACCAGTAAAACCAGCAATTTGAGATAAATATTAATGATGTTGAGCATTTGGTGGACAGAAGGAAGGTCAATTTGGACTTGGGCAACTATCAAGGAGTACAGTGAAAGCATTTCTAAAGCAGGGACAGACAACTACGCTGAAGGAGCAGGGCAAAAGTAGCTAGATACGCATAATAGAACCAAATAAAAATGGGAAGTTTGAGGAATGAGAGCCATCTGGAATCTACTTCAAGGAGGAAGATTGAAGTTAGAGGACTGCAAAAAACAGAGATACCAGGGCTGAAACAGAACTGTCATTGAGGAGAGGAGTGAGATCAGAAAGTGCTATTTATTTACAGGAAACAAGCTCTGTCTAATTAATGCTTTTTTTGGATTTTTTTCACGGATGTGGGCGTCACTGGTAGGGCTGACATTTCCTGGCCATTCCTAATTGCCTTTGAACTGAGTGACATGATTGATCATTTCAAAGTGCAGATAAGAGTGAACCACGCTACTGAATATCTGGAACCACATATAGGCCAGACCAGGTAGAGATCTCTTTCCCTGAGAACATTAGTGAACCAGATGGATTCTTACAATAATTGATGACAGTTTTCATGGTCACCATGACTAAGACTAACTGTACAAAGCCCAGATTTGTATTAATAGAATTAAAATTAATTATACCACTTCCATGGTGACTTTTGACCCATGCCCTAGAGCATTAATTTGAGCCTCTGGACTTTATCACTATGTCTCCATCTCCATATCCTTCTAATAAGATAATGGATGAAATAATAGCTTTTAATAAGTTAACAGTTAACACCTTAGTCTTCAAAACTGCTATTCCTGTAAATTTATTATGTGTTGTTGCTGATATGACCATCTGACTTTTTTTTTAAAGTTTTGAATTTGGCATGGATTATTTAAAATTATTTGTTTGGTGACCTCACAGGACATCATGAGTCAGTTCTGTATCGGAATTGAATTCATTAATAAGCCAGGCTTCCTTCCGTAAAGGATATTTGTTTTATTAAAAAAAAAAAGGGGGTTTGTAGCAATACAAAAGCATTCATGGCAAAATTCCTAATTTATTGAATTAAATGATTGAATTTGATCTCTCATCAGTTAGATTGCTGTTCTCATGGTTAACGACACTATACTTCTTGTTGAAATCAAATATTAAAGTGCAGTTTAAACATTTCTTAAAATGATGTGGCAGAATCTTGTGGACCCTTCTGTGCTGAGTTTGGACAAGGGTGATTTAATTGGGGACAGTGGGGAGTGGCATGTGGGGACCCTGTCAGCTTCCTGCCTCCATCACAGCCTTTCCACCCTGACATTAAAGGAGACCCCTAAGTGACCAGTTACTTCCTGCTTAAAGCATTCATCCCACTGCTGCTGGTATCAATCCAGAGGCAGGTACTGGCTCACTGCATAGGGAGCATGACAAGCAAATTCTGACATGAATTCTGAATTCTGTTTGCTTGCAGGCTCCTGGTGAGGCCCCTGATTCAAAGGCATCTGGACGCGGCATCCACCACCTTTCGGATGGCGCAGCTGAGTATAGAAGAGCTTCTGGCCTTTGGCTGGCATCTCTGTGGACACGACCTCTGCCCCTAAGTTCTTGATCCTAGGGTTGGGCCACCACTGGGTTGTTAAATGCTTGAATGGCACAAGATGCGGCATCTTCTCAAAGAAGCAACAGTTGTTTTGTTGGCACTTATTTTCAAATCCCTCCATGCTTTGGCCTTTTCTATCTCTGTAATCTGATCCAGCTCCTAAATTCCTCTGAGATATGTGTACTCATCTAATTCTGGCCTTTTATATAGTCCTAACTTTACACCATTGTTGCCCAGGCCAGAAGTTCTGACATTTTCTCTGTACCTCTCCCCCTGTTTTCTTTGCCTTCCTTCTTTAAGACACTCCTTAAAACGTGTCCCTTTAACCAAACTTTCAATCATCTGTCCTAATCTTTCTGTATGTGACTGTGTCAAAAGTTTTGTAATGCTCGTGTGAAGTGCTTTGAGACATTTTATTACCTTAAAGGCACTCCATATGGGTAAACTGTTATTGAGTTGTAGTGGTATAAAATAATTGTGCAAGATATGCACGTTCCGTACCACTGGAAATTGTGGTCCTTTTATGGTCTGTAATTAATCATTTTAATTGTAGAGTACTACGTGTCAACATATATGCCAATATTAAGCAAGAGCTACAAATCCCTAACTGACCAACAAATAGATTTTAGTAAAATGAATACTCTTTCGGAAGTATAAAGCTAAGCCTCGGTATTGGGTGGGGAAAAACAATTAAAAGCTGGAAAGAGTAGACTTTGTTCTGCTGTTGCTCTAATTTCTAAGCATAGTTTGGTTGAAAAGAAGTAGCAGTACGAATAGTTTCAGAAGTTAGTCCATAGCTAAAAGACTCTAGTTTGGTGTGAGCCTTCTAAATGCCACAACGATGCCACCCGAAGGTTGCAGGAACAGCAACTCATATT